CCTGAGTGACAGGGGTCAAAGGCTGGAATGTGACAGAGAGGGGTCAAAGGCTGGGCCAAGGGCAGGGGTACCTGCATTTGGAACCACCCTTCTTCCATCTTGGGATCCCCGTCTTCTGTCTGTGGGTGGTGGGTGGATGGCAGGCAGTGAGGAGGGGGTGCTCTGAAAACAAGTTTGGGTGGAACCAGGGACCCCGACTCCCTCTGGACCGTGTCCCGTGGGCCCTTCCGTCTGTGAGGTTCGAAGGATGGTGCCAACGGTCAGAGCCTCCCCCTGAACTTGGGCACTTCACACGGGAGTGTCCTGGCTTCCTTGCTGGAGAGAGGGGTGGCCCCTGGCCCCTGAGGCCGTTCCCTGCCTTTGCAGTGTTGCGGGGGGTGGGCACGGCTGGCCAGTGGGCTGGGGGTGGGCAGGGCGGCTGGGCAGCACCAAGGAGGGAGAAGGCAGGCGCTTTCCGATGCAGTGCCCCTGTGGTTTGGGGCGTGGGTGCTGGGGGCTCTTGGTTGGGTCTTCTCCGGGGTGAGTGGAGAGGTTCCCCGGGGCGCAGTCCAGTGCAGCCTCTGTCTGTCTGGCATCACAGGGTTGGGAGACAGGACACCTCTCAGTGACCACACTGTGGCCTCCCTTTCCACCCAGCCCGCCAAGCTCCGTCTGTCCCTTCCCCTCCCTGGCAGCTTGGCAGGAGTTTGCTGAAGTCACATGGCTGCGATTCCCTCTGAGCGAGACCTGGTGTACGAGGCTGTGTCACCTGTCACTTTGCCATCGTCTAGCCTCCACTTAAGCAGCCTGACTCCAGCGTCCCTTTTTAGCTGACTGCAGGAGCATTGCGTCCAGTCCAGCAGACCAGTGGGTGCACTCCTCCTGTGCCCTGCCCGCGGCCCCTGGCCTGTGGTCCCGCCAAGTCCCGGGGCCCCTGCACTGGTGTTCCCATGGGGTGTCGCCGCCCTCGCTGCTGCAGCACTGTGGGTCTGGGGTCTGGGCCAGGCTGGGTCGCCTGGGGCTGTGGTGGGGCTGCGTGCTGAGAAGGCACCCTGAGTGACGGGTTGAGGCTGGGATGTGACAAAAGCCAGCAGGCACAGGGTCTGGCCTGCACTGGGCCCGCCGCTGGCTGGCTGGGGTTTGTTGGGTATTTAGTTTTGGGGTGACCAGAGGGATAGGAGGGAATCCAGGAACAAGTGAGGCCTTGGAAGCCAAGACAGAGAGGCTCGGGGAACTTTGGTTAGGGTCCAGGACACAGCACTGGGTGGTCAGGTCAGCATGGGTGCAGCTGGTGACCCGAGGAGAGTTCTGGGAGGCAAGAGGCAGGCCTCCAGGGTGTGAACAGGGCACAGGTGCCGAGATGGGGTGCGCAGGGCTCACGAGAGGGGGGTTGTGACAGAGCCCTGGGGAACTGGCTGTGCCTGGACTGGCTGGGAAACAGGCCTCCAGGAGGGTCCCTGCCCACGTCACACCCTGGGGTGTCTCCAGGGGGCAGCAGCAGACAGGTGAGTCAGGACTTGTGGGCTGTGTACTGGGCACAGTGTGCAGGGCGGGGGGCTCAGGGCTGGCCTGTCAGCTGCCAGCTCTCCAGCCAGCGCCCTGGGTCTCAGTCCGCTGCTCCTGGACCAAGCCTGGGCAGCCCACAGCAAGTCCCCGGCACACTTGCTGCCTGGTGGGCCTCTCCGAGGCCCTAACCTCAGGCTCAGCCCCCCACTCCAGGCAGAGCTGTCCCCCTGCTTCCTTGGGAGAGCGCTGGGAGACCTCACCTGAGCTTGTTCCCAGCTGCCTGGCTCTGCAGACGAGGCGGACACCATCCCTGATGGGGCAGGTGTGCCTCCCACTCCTGAGGGGGGAGCGAGTGGACCAGACTTGGGGCGGGCTGGCTGGGTGTTTTGGGGCATCTGGCCTTGGGCCACCTGAAGTCCTCCCCGAGGAGGCTGTCGTCCTCTGACGGGCTGGTGTGGCGTTGCTCCCGGGGCTGGGTGCCGCCTGGAGCCACCCTGTGGTGAGTGGGGTAAGTGGGGAGGGCTGGGGGCACTGACTGAACAGGCCCTCCCTCCCGGGGCTCCAGCTTCCCTGGCGGGCGCAGCGGTGGCACCTGGGTGGGGGCTGCCGTGAGGACTCTAGGTGGTGAGCCTTGGAGACAGGTGGGCTCGGGGCCTCCAGTGTGTTCGTCTTGGGTGCCCGCCCAGACCTGCTCTTGACAGATGTCAGTGGAATTAAGTGTCCACTTTCTTCAGCAGGTCAGAGTCAGGAGCTAAATAAGTGTCTTCAGAATTAGTCAGTTCTCGCCCTGGCTGGTGTAGCTCAGTGGATTGAGCACGGGTCTGCGAACCAAAGGATCGCGGTTCGATTCCCAGTCAGGGCATATGCCTGGGTTGCAGGCCAGTTCCCAGCAGGGGACGCACAACAGGCAACCATGGCAACCATGCAAAGAAGCTCTGCCCCCTCCTCTGCTCTGCCCCTCCCTCACTGCTTAAGAATGGAGGTGGGGGGGTGGCTCAACCACAGCTGAGGCCACTTGCACAATGGACTCGGGGCCAGTTGGTGAAGACTGGAAACTCTTCCCGCACTGATAGAGTCCGGCATTTAGGGGTTTGGAGAGGGAGGATGTGAGGCTTTGGGGAGAGGCCTGTACTAGGGCGCATGCCTTGCCCCTGGTGGAGGGGCTCCGCACCCCATGCTTGTTCGGGGCACCCCCCAATGGGTACAAGAGTGTGTGTTGCTGCATCAGGATCGGCCTTTCAGGATCGGCCTCAAGGCCAGACCAGACTGGGTTTCTCGGTTTAGTCATTTGGATTTAAAAACTGAGTTACGTACGTACGCCAGTACTGCTTTGAAGTTTGGGGGCAGTGTCAGTTGTCAAAACATAGTGTTTCTGCAGCAAGACACAAATATTCCCAAATAAAACATAGTGTTTCTGCAGCAAGACACAAATATTCCCATTTGGTGGGGAGAACAGTTCAGGTTATGACGTGCGGCTGCTGGTGAGGCTCACCACCAGCAGATGCGTGTTCAGGACGAGCACCTCGGGAGCCGCTTCTGGGATGAGTGTGTGGTGCCCTTGGAGTTGTGTCGGGCACGCCCTCCCGCCTGGGTGGGAGACGGGTACTGAGCGTCACTTAGGCTGTTGCAAACCAGGCTTCCTCTTAGTCTGGCATATTTTTTTTCCCACGATTCCTAGCAGAGTGAGAAGCAATCTGTCCTGCTCCTTCCCGCAGGAGCCTGCTCTGCAGGGCTGTGGGTGTGTCCTGCACCGGGGTCTGCCCTGGGGGCCGGGGGTGACTTCCTGAGAACCGGTGCAGCAGTAGCAGCATCTCTGGCATTGTAGTTTACCTGGACACTTGTTTGCTGTTTTGTTGATGAGCTGGAGCTCTTCTCCTTGCAAAGTGGCACAGGGGCCGCCTCCACACGTGTGGCATAAGGGTCCTTAGCCGTGTTTGCCGATGCTGTAGCTGAGGGTGAATAAAGTGGTTCTGGCCAGACTAAGGAAGCTGGGACGGACGTGTGTGGCACGGGAACGGGTGAGAGGCCGGTGACACGTCCTCCCCTTTGGCAGTGCAGACGAAGGGAAGCAGTGCCAGGCCCCGGCCTGAGGCTGCCCTCAGCTGCCGGTGGCAGAGGAGGGCTGGAGGTGCCCGGGCTCCCAGGCCTGGTCGGGGAGTAAAGGTGGGGCCGGGCACACCGCTCTTGCTTGACTTCGGGGCCTTTGAGGATGACCCTCGAACCTGAGTGGTGACTTCAGGTGTCTGACCTGTACTCAGTGGCACCTGATCTGATGATGTCCCCCAGGTGTCTGAGGTGGTATATGTTGTGCACATTAAAGGTAAACTTTTTTCCTGAAGAGGAAGCTTTGAGATGAGATTTCTTAAGATAAGTGGTCTTTCAGACATTGTGTGAACGTGGCTGATTTTAGTCTTTTATGGAAATAAAAATTCTGAACTCTATCCCTGTTTTCTTTAAAATCCTTACCTGAGGAGGATACGTGTACTGACTTTAGAAAGGAAGGGGGATGGGGAGAGAGGGATGGCAGTGGTTGCCTGGGCGCCAGACTGGCCACGGAGCTGGCAGCCTCCCGTGCACAGGACCTGCTCCAACCAGCCAGGTCTCTGGTCAGCACTGGGAAAAACGCTCCGAGGATCTGGTCTCGTGGCCTTGCTGTTTTCAGAGAGGCAAGGATGTTTGTAAAGTGGCAACGGCTTCTCATTGTTTCTTTTGTAAGAAAACGTGGCGGGTGGCATACCAACCGAGCGTCTTTGCCTGGGCAGTGCTGGCTTTCCCGTGATTCTTCCTTCTTCACACCCTCTGGGTGGTGGCCGTCTGCCGCCCCAGGTGCGAAGATCACCTTTGCAGACACCGGCACTGTGATGCGCCGGGTCGCCAGGGGTCCAGTGGGACAGCAGGCCGAGGGCCCTAACCCGAGCGCCCCCCTCTCTCTCTCCACAGAGTTGGGGTTCTGGAGGACTCCTTCACCTTCCTGGGCATCTTCTTGGCCATCGTCCTGTTCCCCTTTGGGTTCATCTGCTGTTTCGCCTTGAGGAAGCGAAGATGTCCCAACTGTGGAGCAAACTTTACCTAAAGGGGACAGCACACCGGTGTCCCTGCACCCAGCTGTCTTTTTCTAATGTAAATGTCGTGTACAGTAGCTTCCTTTGATTAAGCTTCAGGACTGTTCTGTGAAGGGAGGTGGGAGAGCCGTGGCCCGTGCTGGCCGGTTCCTGGCCGTGGAGTGTGGATGCGCAGCAGCACTGCTCCCAAGGTCGATGACAACTCAATAAAGCACTGCTTCTATTTTTTGCAGTCTTAATTTGAGAAAGGTGAGAAGTACTGTTTTAAATAAATGAGATTCATACCATTGCTTACCTGGTTCTGCTTATTCAGCATGCAGACACTGCCACTTTAGAAGTCAAGTTTTGTTTGGACAATGTCTAACACACATAAAATAGAGACTAGAACATACCCATCACCCAGCCCCAACATTGGTCTGCTGTCTCCTGATAGGCAGTTACAGCTCAAGAAAATGTTTTCAAGTTCTCTTTTATTATTATAATGAAACACAATACCTTGACATTTACAGAGCATGCACCTCAGTGCCAAGGACATGGTAAGCCCTCCTATCCTGTATGAGGCAGGTAAGTGACGGCGCTGGTCCGTTCTGTGAAGGCAGAAGAGACTGGGTGGGTGGGCCTGCGAAAGCCATGTACTAGTTGGTGCAGGGCCGCTGGTGTCCCTGTGACGGAGCCAGAAGGTCCCAGGGTGGCTGGAGCTCCGGCAGCTGGGGCAGGGTGGGCAGACCCTCCCCTCTCCCTTAGCAACTCACCTCCACAACCTACACCTTGCTCCCTCCCCACTGCTGGACACAGTGGGCTTCTGTGGGCGCCACTCTCATCTAAATGCAGAGAGAGGAGCAGAGGGCCACTTAACTGACCCAACCGGTCTCTCTGCTGGCCGGGGTGTCTGCTCTCAAGACAGGTGCTGCTGGACACCTGCACTTTGCCTGACCTGGCCCTGGGGAGCCCACACAGTCCTGTGTGACCAGCGCCCTGCACCTCCCAGGCCGACTTAGCCAGGAGGACAACAGGCCAGTGACCGTGAAGTCTCTCTCACACTGGTTTACCTGCCGCCGTCCTCGGCCAGCCTCAGGCTCGCAGAGAGAACAGCACAGTAAGACCGAAGGAGCCGTGTGAGCAGCAGGCCTCCCTTCCCTGCACACCCAGTGAGTGGCCTGGGTGCGACTTTGAGTCACGACCCTCCACGCCTCCAAAATAGGGCCTAAATCCTTGGCAGCCTGCGAGCACCTCGGCCACCTGCTCGGAGTCCCCTCCCGGAGAAGCCCAGGTTCCCAGTGTGTGACGGCAGGGCTCAGGTACAGTGCAGACGCTGCCAGCCCCCCGACTCCCGGCGGCGGAAATTAAGGAGGCAGCTTTGGTCGGCCAGGGCAGCAAGAGCACCGTGGCTCCCACAAGTGGTCACCTGGAGTGCCCATGTCTCCCTGCGGGCCAGTCGGGCCCACGGGTGGCATGGCTGGGTGGGTGTGTTCAGGGGTCATGCCCAGTGGTAGCTCCCAACAGCCCGGCTCAGGAGCCCTTGGGGACTTTTCAAGTACTGCGTGTCAAGGCTGTGCGCGGCGCGGGCAGAAGCCACGGTGCTCTGCCACTGCATCTCAGCCATGGGGGGGGTGGGGGCGGGGTGGCGGCAGGGCTGCTCTATCTCGGCAGCTCTGCATTTGACTACACAAATTAAAAATTTTTAAGTTAAATTTGTGTAATACTCATAATTTATATTGCTTAAGATTCTTTAGATAAACATCATAATGCTACGTGAGAGCAGAAGCTTTATAAAGTGAGACAGTGATCGCATTTGTACTCAGGTATATGTAGAAAACCAGTCGGGAAAGCACAGCCCTCGTTCTGGCTGTTTATACGTAATCAGAGCATTTAAAAAATAATACAGGAAGGGTTGGAACCAAATTTACTGGGTTTTGAACAGGACAGGAAGAGAACACTTTAAATGACTGAGCTGGTCACTCAGCTAACTTATCTTCTTAAAGACAGAAATGTGCAAACCCGACTGTGAAACTGAGAAAAGGCACTGATTTGCTCGTTAGGGTTCATTTAGAATCAGGCGCCCTCTGGTGCCGTGTCAGGGCGTTACAGCACACACCAGACCTATCATTTTGCAAGTGAGAACTTAACGTTAGACGATCCTGAAGAGTTCCTCCGCCACCTTTTCACCAAATGATGGGTGCTGATCGGTCATTTGTCACTGTTGGGCGGAGTTTCACAGTAGCAAAGGGGTTTTCTCCACTGTGGGGGAAGAAATAAATGTGTGTGTAGAAAATACTACAAGTGGGAATTTGATTTTAAAGGCACTAAAACCTTGTTCTTGCTCTGTAAAACTGTATGTACCTCATGCAAATTCCAGACAGCCTCTTCTGACTACGAGAAGTCTCACTGCGGCATGCCCTCCATGCTGCCTCTTATGGAACTACCAAAGCTTTACACTTTGGACCAGGAGAGCCCGGCTCTCCGCAGTCCTCTGTAGGCGGGGGCAGCCATCCAGGGCCAGGCCTGGATGAAGCTGCCAAGCACAGTTGTGCGACCAGGAGGCTGCCCTCCTGGTCCTGGGCAGGTGCCTCCTCCGGCTGGTGAGAACCGGGTGGCTACACCCTCCTGGCCCCACGGGCCCGAGTGTGTTCTCTGGACCAGGCCCCCTGGCCCGTGCATGGAGGGGCTGCACACAGAGGCGGCTGAACCGGGGGCCACTCGCTAATGGCGGGGGGGGGGGGGGTGACTTGCAGCGGGGAGGGGTTTGTGGACAGGAACGTACCTGAGGAAAGGAAGCTTTGCAGTTCCATTTGTGTTATTCTGTGAGAGAGAAAAAGACAATTGATGGAAGGCTCATGAAAATTGGGACATTTTAAATAAGACCTGAAGGTAAAGGCATTCAGAACAAGGAATTATTTAAAGTTACGAATGTTTAAGAGCCCCAGAGATGCAAATCATTTGAGACTATCTTGGGTTTTTTCTTGTTATCTTCAAAGAATAAGAGCAAAACCTATTTTAAAGGGCAGGGAGGGACCCCCCATACGTGTGGGACATCTCAGACACACAGGGAAGATACAGCTTGCTGTGCTCGCCCTTGGCCTTGCAGGTGTGGAACCAGGGACTGCAGGTGGCTTTCTGGAGCCCCGTCCTGACTGAAGCCGTGAAAACACAATGAGCAGTAGAGCCTTGTTGGGTGTGGTGCCAGAAACTGGTGCGGACGGCCCCCCGAGACCTCGTAGGAAGCTCCAGAGGGTGAGGAACAGAGAACATAGACGGGTCAACACTGTCTGCCTTCAGGGGCCTGGGGATGTCCCACTTAGGCCAGGGGCCAGGTGAGCGCCTTCTTGCCTTCACTGCAGAAAGCCTGCAGGCCATGAGACTCCACCTTCAGTCTGTCCGGGCTGTTTGAATCAGCAAGCAGTGGTCGGAGTGTGTGGGCTGACTCAGGTGGTCGCCTGGGATGGCCGCCCACCGGCCCTGCTGCTGAGCTCCCTGCACACCCCGTGCTGGCCAGGGGCTGGAGGCCACGTGGGGCAGAAGCCTGGACCAGGGGTCCCGGGAGGGCCTCTGCTGGGTTTTGGATGGACCGACTCTCAGGGCAGAGGGCTAGGGCCTCTAGGGCTACTTCAGATCTGTGCCTGCTGTCTCTGAGCCTCTGAGGACCATACCGCTTGACCTTGAACCCCAAGCCCCAGGATAACTGCAGAGTTATCCCGACAGGGAGCCCAGCACCAGGAAGCAGAGTCCCGACTCAGCGCCCGCTTTTCTCGCTGAAGTGACACAGCTGCCTGCTTAGTGCACCCACACAGGCCTTTCAGTGGCTCCTCCCGCCAGGCATGCTGCGTGTCCTCGCTGCCCCGGAGCCAGTGCTCCTGGTGTGGCGTCCCCGTTATGGGACGCCTGTGCCACCCTCAGCAGAAAGTCTACAACGGGGCCCCCAGGGCTGGGGAGGCTCAGACCCGGGTCAGGAGGAAGGGCAGCTGAGTCCTCTTGGCCTGGGAAGTGCACTTCCTGCCAAATCAGAGTCCCCAGGGTCAGCCTCCCCCCCCCCCCCCACTTCTTTGCGGGGCGGGGAGGGGGGGCAGGGTCTTCCTGCCGTGTAATTCGTATCTGAGGGGTCTCTGCCCTGACCTAGCAACCAGAAACACACCCCCCAGGGGCATCCCAGATGTCTGTCCTCCAGTGCCATTTGGGGGCTTAGCCCACAACGTGAGAGGAACAATGGCGGAGGAGTGTCACAGTCCCTCCTAGGAAGGAAGTGACAAGAAGTAGCACCTTGTGCTGAGGACGCGGCAAAAGAACCTACGACGACAGCCTGAAGTTACTCGGCGCTGGGGCTGGCACCACTGGGACGGGTCACGTTCGGGCTCTCAATCCGACCCTGGTCACACCTGCTGCTTCGTAAAGTCGTCATGTACTTTCCTGCATGTGGCATTCATTCTGTCCGTGGCACGAGAAGGTCTCCCCTGTAACACCTCCCACCAAGCGCACTGCCTCGGTCACGACTGCCCACCCGCCCCCACCCACCCACCCCAAACAAAGGCCCCTCTAGGCCGGACGTGAAACCGCCCTCATCCGAAAGCTCACCCCCCACCCCAGGCCGCACACAGCCCTGCCCTCTCACTGCCTGGCACGGGGCCGGGGGCGTCTGTCCCGCCTGCTGCCTCCAGAGTGGCAGCGGCGGTGGCCGGGCAGCCACAGGGCACCCGAGGAGGGCTCCCCTCCTGCCACAGCCGCGCTGGCCCTCGGGAGAGAGCCATGTGCTTGATGCTCTGCTGCCCAAGGAAGGGGCAGGAACGAAGGTGGGGCGCTGTGCGCGGGCCCCACTCACTGGACAGTCCCAGACTTTAAGGCGGCCTTCCGTACAGACAGTCTGTTTCCATCCGCCAGCAGGAGGTTTAAAAACAAAGTTAGATTCCATTTATAGCTCAAATGCTAAATAAGCTTGTTACTGACTCCTGACATTTAGAAACAGGACCCTCTGATTTACCCAATTCAGTGCAGTAAACTACCACAGCGCTTTCCTTGTCCAGCTTTATCTGCACGTGGTAGTTCTGATAAAACGACGAGAGGTAAACCAGGCCGTCCGTTCCTGACACAGCGACCTCCGTGTGGGCCACAAGGTCGGTGTTTGCACTCACAACTCCAGGGCCAAGACTGTGACTTTGGGGCAAGGCTCTTCTTACCCTAACAGGCATTGTGCAATCTTAGTAAAGTCACGGGGCTAGGGGGTCGTTTTCAGCGGCTGCTAACATCAGAAAAAGAGGGATGCAGGACGTGTGTGCCCGCGGATGGACGAGCCACGGCCAGTGAGATGCTCTGACTGAGCAGGGCAGGCAACACAGAGAAAGGGGACGTGGGGAAGGACACCAATGTGGCTGCGACCAGCCAAGCCCAGGTTGGGGGCAGATGCCGGGAGGCTCGCCTACAGGTAAGTCACAAGGAGGAGACAGAGGAGACCTGGAGGCGGACAGACTTGTCATGAGCCTCAGTGACCCACGATGACGGATGGAGCCGACCTGGACCCAGATTCAGACAGCCGTACTGTCAAGAAATGCTTGATGGGCCCATCAGAAACTTGAAGTGACTGGGGATGACACTCAGGAACAACTGTCAATTTTTAAAGATATTGTTGGCATTTGGTCACATAAAAGGGGAGGGTACCTTTAAGATGTTTACCAATGATCTGAAGTAACTGAATCGATGATTGTTACTAGATTATTAGGCCATTAGATTATTCTTTTCACTTGTATGTACGTTTGAATTTTTCCATAAGGAAAAGCTGAAAATCAGACAAACGAGAAGGCGATACAGACTGACAGGCTGCACCGCACACCCAGGCCCGAGTTTTATGACATGCAGTTGTAAGTTGTTTTAAAAATAAAAGTAATTTCTGTGCTTTCAGAAATGCCTTAAGAGCATTTCCAAATAGTTCGAACACTGTTTTGAAATGTCCTCGGGCCTTTAGTAGAGCAGCATTCGATATCTTTGCCCTTCCGCGCCATCTCTCCGGCTACTGGCCCCTGCCTCCGTGACGACAGGATGGAAAAGGTCTGTTTTCAATGCCACGTGTCCTCCTTTTGAACATAATCTCTGCACTTAGATGTTTGTAGTAATTTGGGACAACAGCTGCAAACAAAATACTGTGCAGCAAGCTTACCTAAGAGGAGCGCCCAGACAAAGACGCGGGAATGGGACGGCACAGCCCCGCCTCCCTGACCAAACTCGCCGCAGCAGCCGCCTGTGACGAGGTGGCCTGTCTGGAACCCGTAAGGCTCACATGAGAGCACAGGGCGCATTTTCAGGAGGGTTCCCATTTCGGAGAGTCCGCCTACGCCCCATTCGCAGCTGAACAAAGACCACCAGTAGTGGTGTTGATGGGGACCGAGCTGCTGACCCCGCACCCTCGCTGTGAAAGAGGGAGGAGGCTCTTGCGTGCCCTGCAGAGAGGACCACGCGGTGACTGAAGGTCACGGAAAGGTAGTTGCTGCCCCGACTGTGTGTGGACAACCGCCGCGCCCTGGGATGTTTTGGAGCCACTGCAACCTCCAGCCTGAAGCCCAGCCCACTGTGACCCTCACCCAGGCCCCCTTGCCTTCTTGGGGCTCTAGTGCCGCAGTGCCTGTCGCTGGAGAAACCACGGCATTGGCTGGGCTTGTGTTAAATCTCGACCCCACACTGAGCAGCGTCGCCAGCCCTGCTTTCCTGCAGCTCTGCAAAGCACACTCACGTTCCTACTCTGCAGCACCGACTCCACAGGCGTCCCCTTCCAAGCCTTCCAAGCCTGCTCACCACCGTGCCTGCCCTGCCCCGACGGCCACACCTCCCCGCTGAGCAAACGGGCAGGGCACGCCAGCCCCGCGGCACCTCCTCAGCCACCCTCCTCCCAGCCTTCTCCTCTACTATATAATCTGTACTGGAGAAAATAAGGAGAACAGAACCCCCGTGACTTGCTAGTGTCCAGGAACGGTCGCCCCCCTTCCCTGTTCCTTGAGGATGCTGAGCATGTGCCCTCCTCGGGGGTTTTCTACTCCCGTCCAGGAAGCTCCTCTCGACCCCTGCATGGCCAGCTCCTTGCCATTCAGGTGTAAGCTTAGATGTCACCCCTTAGAAGTCCTCTGCTATAGAGAACCACATGCCACCTCAGTCCCCGGCCACCACCTCCAGAGCCCACCCTGGGCCTGGCACCCGGTGGCCACCGTTGTCAAAGGAAGGACGGTGTCACCTGACTTTCTGGTGGGCCTGCCCAAGGTGAGAGACACACACACACACAGTGCCTGCATGGCACGTGGTGCCGAGCAAACACTTCCTGAAGACCCGGAGATTAGGCTACTTTTTACCTTAAACCTTCCTTCAGACAACAGCATGAACATGGAAGGAAATGCAAAACAAGGTAATTAAGGGACTCGGCGATGGCAGCCGTGACCAAGAACGAGGAGAGACGAAAACCTGAGACAGTCTGGTGAACGGGGGACACGCGTGTGCGTGTATCGTCCTTTACAGGGGAAACAGAACTAAAGGCCTGAAGCTGGGAGGCGGACAGGTGTGACGTTGAAGGGGACCTGGAGGAGCAGGGAGGAGGTTGGAACAACCTCACACACACTGGTGGGAACAAGCCCGCACCTCCGGAGAGCGCCACTCAGGACTCGGGCCCATAGGTCACGCAGCCGCTCTACTCACAGAAGAGGGGATTTCTGGTCTGGACTCCAGGGCTTTGCAGGCAGGAGGAGGTTTGCAGACATCTGCTCTCTTCTCTGCAGCCGCCCTCACGGACAGGCATTCCAGGTAGTCCGGCGGGGGGATGGGGACAGCCGCACTGCTCTTCTCGGACAGGTCCACGGTGCTCATGCTCCTCATTGGTGCTGGGCTGGCGGCCCGGGGTCAGAGAACACACATGAGATGAGGCCCTGTTGCGGGAACCCCAAACACCTAAACCAGCCCATGGTCAGAATGGTGGATGGATCGTAAAGGACGCAGGAGGGGGGACTACAACACGAGCTTGCACGAGTGTGCACACACACAGTATAATAATCATTGTCATCACTTGGATCGGAGTGGAGACTTAGGGGCTACTGGGACAGGCACCAAAGGAAGCCTGTTGGTGTGACTCAGAGCACAGGGTGGCAGGATGGCCCAGGAAGCAGAGGAAAGGAGGGAGGGCCGAGGACAGGACCCGAGGAACACCTATGTTTAAACAGTGGGTAGGAGCAGGGCCTGTGAGGGGACTGGGAGGTGTGGCTGGTGAGGTGAAGGAAAAATGAATAGAGGGCAAGGTCAAGAAACCCGAGCAGGAGAGCATTTCAAAAAATGTGTCCCCAAGTGTCACAGGCGCTCAGTAGGGTCAGGAGGGAGAGGGGGCCTTGGGTGCAGCTACGGTGGGTGGGGGGGACTCGGGTGGGGCCGGAGGGCTTCGGGGAGGGTCTGGGTGTGACTCTTCATGGCACAGTCAGTAAAACCCCTGGAAACTGAAATTGCTGGGAAATGAGTGTGGCGTTGCCGTCTGCTGCTTATCCCTGTGATCCGGGGCTTCCTGCAACCCAGACAGAACGCCGACGCTCCCCGGCACAGGGGGTCCGGTTTTCCGTCCCTGGGAAACATGAGCCGCAGCGAGTCCTACCTTGGTGAGGGCAAGCTCACTGTCTCCTTGGCATTTTCTTCCAGCAACTTGGTGTATGACGACGGGAACCAGCCCCGCCTGCAGGGAGGGCGGAGGGGAGACCTGGCTGTGGTGTCAGCAGCAGACAAGCGACAACACACACAAGGACAACTCGGGGTGGACGGTCCCTTTCACTACATCGCATGATGTGTGTTTCAAATCCAGTGTGATTTTATTCAGTTCCCTCTTTATCCTTCTCCCCGAATTGGTTTGATTTAATAGAATAATCTACATAGAAAATCAATTTAACATACTTACACAGATTATCTTTGAGAAATCCAAAGTCACATTAAAAAAAAAAAAAACAACCCAAGAGAATACTTAAACCTGCTTTCAGAAGCGACTTCATGTGACCTAAGTGATCTATTCATTCGAGTTTACCTGTACACACACACACATGTACATGCACGCACATACATGCAGGAACAGTCTGGGACAGAGTCCAGTTGACCACAACAGAACTAGAGCTGAACTACGACCTGAGCACTGGCTAACACGTGGCATGTTCGCAAGGGCCATGCGCCACTAACAGGAGAGACCGCAGCTCTAGGAAGCACCGGGTAGCTCGGACTCCAGCCGACCCTCCCTCCGAGACTCACGCTTTGGAGGCATCATGCTCCCCGTAGAGCCAGCCGTCCTTCTCCTCGGAGACGAGCAGCGTGATGACGTCCCCCTGTGCGAAGCTGAGCAGGGTCTGGTTGCTGCCGGCGGTGTGTGGGAAGATGGTTTTCACTTTCTGCTTCTTCATCATGTTCAGTCCAGTTGCAACAGAAACCGACCGCTGTAAACTGGGATCATCTGGAGAAGCTGTTGAAAACGAACGGAGCAGGGACGGCCTTTCAAAGGATGATAACAGGTCGTCTGTGACAGAGACCCCAGTTGTGTCGTATCGCCACACCCTTCCAGTTGCTGGGCAAGGCCTACGAGGAGCACAGGCAGAGCCCTGGCCCCGGGTCTCTCCCGGGCGGGGCTCCCTTTTGCAGTCAGGAGGACCAGGCAGCATCTGCCGAGCTCCACCCACCCTCCGCCTCACTCCAGACGGCTCTCAGGGAGGCAGACCGCCCCTCCACCAACTGCACTCTCGGTTCTCCTTTCCCTGCCCTCTCAGTGCGAACCAGAGGCTGCATGAGGCCTCAGCTCACACCCAACTGCCCACGGCCTGGGCCACCAGGGGAGAGAACTGGAAACGCTCTTGTGAGGACAAGCACCTCTGCTGAGCCCTCCCTAATCACCAGGCCATGCTCTCGGACCTCCTGAGGGTGGCCCTCGGCAGAGCCAGGCGTGGTGGCCCATCCCGCACGGTGGGAAGCAGCGGTGCGCTGCGCATTTTGTGTCTCCGTTCAAATGCAGCCTGATAGTCCCCACTTGGGGAAAAAAATAGAATGGAGAATTTCTTCTTTTTAGATTTTCCAAATATTGCTAGCCTAGTATTAAAAACCAAGTAAGATCTCTTTCTGCTTTATTCTTACAGTCTTACTAATTACAATGTAAACTTTGCTAGCTTCCTACCACACCGCTCTCTGATTACCTCAGTGGTGCTGAGTCTGCCAGCGACCTTACTTTGCTTTTACCGGGAAGAATCAATGGTCTGAATGACTGGCATGCACGTGACATTATCGATTTTGACTTCACAGTGTATACAACTTGTGGCCCTGCTTTCAAAGGCAGATGACTGCAGACTATTGTCTTCCTAGTTGCCATTCAGAAAATCTCGTTTCTTCCCCTAAAGCCGCACGTGGTATCTGGGGTGTATCCAGCGCTCGGCGGCCATGACTCGTGAGCAGGGGCCTGGGAGACCCCCAGACAGAGGCAGGGGCTGGCCGCCATGAGTCCCTGAGATGTTTGCAGACAGTAACTGGTCCCAATGTATTAGAATGCAGAGTTGAGAAACTTAAGCAGTTAGAACTTACTCTCCAGAAAGTATGTTGTACTGTTAGAGGTGATGAAAATCACTGATTATAATTCAAATGGAGCCCGCAGGTAAGATTAATAACCATAATTTTGCTAATGTGAACTGTTACAGTTTGTTGCATTGAAAAGAGAAATTGCAATTGCCACCAAATATGAAACACAGTGGGGACATCGCTATACGTTCAATTCTATTCACTTAACTTTTTAAACTTTATTCTATTTTAAAAAAAACACCTTTCAATAGTATATTTACTCTTACAAACATCAATTAGTAGTAGAATTCGTATGTGTCAAAGTGCCTCTGGTTTTACTAAAACTCAGGGCTTTGCTTGTTCTGAGTTGCACATCCTTCCAACGCGGAACGCGGGCCGCACACACGTGCTCGTTCAGCTCCACCTCACCAGGCACTGACCCAGACCATCTACTTTAGAAGTTGAGGCAGGTGGGAGCGGTGGGGGGTAAATGCAGACAACTGCAACTGAACAACAATAATGTAAAGAATAAACAAAAGTTCAGAAAGGTGATTTGGAGGAAACACCTTACCTGCACTCTGTGTGGCTGTCGCTGGGTTATTGAACATATCGACCAGCGGGCTGGTGTTCGCTCTGGTCGAGGGAGCTGGAGGCACCTTTGGCGAACATCTGGAAAGCGTGTCGTAGTCCTTCCCAACCTGCGGGACGTTTTTACCTGTTTAACGTCAGTGTCACACGGCAACGGCGTTTTAGGTTCCCGGGGCTGTTTTCCCTAAGTTCTCTCAGTTGTAGGGCTGTATCCCATTTTGGATGATTTCAAGAATACCATATTTTTTCATTTTTGTCTTAAGATGCAATAATCTTTAAAACTAAAAAAGCAACACCCCCTCCCCCCGAAACACAAGCCACCACTCCCACATCCCCTCCCACGTGGGCAACCGCTAATCTCCTTCCTTTCCTGTGGGTTTCAGGCTCGCTCTTCAGTGCCACCCGTTGAGAGGATTCTGTGTTTGAGACGTTTCCACAGAATTTTGAGGGCATTTACTGCTCCGTTAAGTCCTAACGTCTTAGGTTGTCAGAGTTTTCTCCTTATCCCTGACTTCCTGTCGTCCACCCGGGCTTTGGGCTCCTCAACGGTCCAGGATCGGTCCGGCTGCCATGGCAGGGACCAGGCAGAAGGCCACCGTGGCCATCTCTGCAGGGGCCACAGGCGGAGCCATGTGTTCGGGGCTGTGAAGATGGAAACAACAGGGCCGGCCCGCGGGCCGAGAGAGGCATGGGGGAAAGAGAAAGGAGTCATTTTGTGTGAGAGCTACAGAAGGATGGAGCCGTCCTCTACTGGAGGGAGGAGAGTGTGGAGAGGCAGGTGTGGAGTAAAAAAAAAGAAAAAAAAGAAAAAAACAAAAAAAAAAAAAGGAAAAAAAAAAAAAAAAACACAAGAAGAAAAAAAAAAAAAAAAAAAAAAAAAAAGGAAAAAAACAGAAAAGAAAGAAAAAAACCAATGGCATATTTCACAGACATAGAACAAACACTTCGAAAATTTATATGGAACCATAAACGAGCTCGAATAGCAGCTGCTCTTTTGAGAAAGAAGAACAAAGTAGGGGGGATCACAATACCTGATATCAAACTGTATTACAAGGCCACTGTAATCAAAACAGCCTGGTACTGGCATAAAAACAGGCACATAGACCAATGGAACAGAACAGAGAGCCCAGAAATCAACCCAACTCTCTACAGTCAATTAATATTCGACAAAGGGGGGCAGTAACATAAAATGGAGTAAAGATAGCCTCTTCAACAAATGGTGTTGGGAGAACTGGACAGCTACATGCAAAAAAATGAAACTTGAGCACAGACTTACACCATACACCAAAATAAATTCAAGGTGGATAAAAGACTTAAATGTAAGTCATAACACCATTAAAGTCCTAGAGGAGAACATTGGCAAGAAAATCTCAGATATTTCACGCAGCACCTTCTTTACTGATATGTCCCCTAGAGCAAGGAATGTAAAGGAAAGAATAAACAAATGGGATCTCATCAAAATAAAAAGCTTCTGCATGGCTAAAGAAAACAGTATTAAATTAGCAAGACAACCAACTGTATGGGAAAACATATTTGCCAATGATACCTCAGACAAAGGTTTAATCTCTAAAATATACAAAGAACTTACACGACTCCACTCTAAGAAGACACCCAACCCAATTAGAAAATGGGAAAAGGACTTGAACAAACACTTCTCCAAGGAGGACATATAGAACATTCAGAGACACATGAAGAGATGCTCAATATCATTAGCTATCAGAGAGATGCAAATTAAAACCACAATGAGATACCACTTTACACCAGTCAGGATGGCTATCATAAACAAAGCAACAAACAACAAATGTTGGAGGGGTTGTGGGGAAACGGGGTCCTTAGTTCACTGTTGGTGGGAGTGCAGACTGGTACAACCATTATGGAAAACAGTATGGATTTTTCTCAGAAAAATAAAAATCGACCTGCCTTTTGACCCAGCAATTCCACTGCTAGGATTATATCCTAAGAATCCTAAAACATCAATATCAAAGAACCTATGCACCACAATGTTCATAGCAGCACAATTTACAATAGCCAAGAGTTGGAAGCAACCTAGGTGCCCATCAGTAAATGAATGGATCCAAAAATTGTGGTACATATACACAATGGAATTCTATGCTGCAGAGAGAAAGAAGGAGCTACTACCCTTTGCAACAACATGGATGGAGCTGGAAAGCATTATGCTGAGTGAAATAGGCCAGGTGCTGAAAGACAAATACCATATGATCTCACCTTTAACAGGAAGCTAAACAACAAAACAAACAAGTAAGCAGAAAAAAAAAAAAAAACACCCAAAAAACAAAGACACTGAAATAGAGAACAAGGGGATAGTGACCAGAGGGGAGAAGGAAGGGAAGTTAAGGGGAAAAAGGGGGGGGGATTTGGAGGAACAAATAGGAAGGACACAGGGGACGAGAACTAAGGGGGGGGGGAGGAAATGGGAGGGAGGTGGGGAGCAAGGGGCAGGGGGGCTGGGGGGGGAAAAAAAAACAAAAAAAATTTCTAAAAAAAAATAAAAAAAAAAAAAAAAAAAAAAAAGAAAAAAAAAGCAAACCAGTTGTTTGGGTTTGGACAGCTGGGTCTGAGCCCTCCATTGGGCAGCTGGTGGTGATGCTGGGCGGGCAGCGGATTGTGTCTCCGTGTGTCAGCTGGTCTAACGTCACGTTTGTCCTCTGTCCGATTTTTCAGAAAGTCCCCTTTCTGTTTTTGCTCTGTGTTTTGGAAGTTTTTGTGGCTTAATTTTCCAAGCAGTTCCATTCTTCTAATGAGCCCATATAGATTATTATGTGTTTTGTGTTTGAGGATGGAGGGAGAAATGAAAAACAAAAAGCTGTTCTTTTAGAAAACTTTCCAACAGGTGCGAAAGTAGAAAGAAGAGCAGAGTAAGCCTCCATGTACCCAACTCCTGGCTTCAGCAGGTTCCCTGTCCTGGCCAATCCCATTTCACGTCACCCCGCCCACCTCTGCCCGGCATCTGGGTTGCTTTGAAGCAAATTCTAGGCATGTCACTTTATAAGGAATAATCCAGTTTTCAGTCTCCAAAAACTAGTTGATTCTTCTCTATGAATGCAATACTCTTTCATCTCTTTGGAAAGATCTCTCTTCTGCCCAGCTGGCTCTCCTGCCCCCAATACTGCTCATTTTGGTTTTCAGTTCGTGTGTGTTCTTACGGTGTTGGTTTCTTCACCTGCTCTATGATTCTTGGTTGTCTGTGTTCCTGCGCATGTACGGCAGTCACCGTTCTACTGTGTGTGAGAGGCCGTATTTCGCCTGTTCTCATGATCGCAGAGTACCCCACTGATGTGGGGAGAGGGAAGGCATTTCAAGGACTGTGCCCTGTGTCTTCTGTCTTGGCCAGTGCACAGAAGCCCCTGCTGTCTGTGGTTCAGCAGAAATTGGACAAGGGGCAGGGACGGACCGACCTAGACGGTCTGAATCAGTTCCCCAACCAACATACAGAGAAACACCCCCGGTTCTCCTCCACTGCCTGTGTCCCCTGCCTCTGGGCTGACGCTCTGCCCTCTGGAGAAACCTTGCCCTGGCACATCCTCGGGGCTGAGGTTTCCTATTCTGATCTCCACGTGCTGACCCTGTAGAGACCCCCAGTGCGCTGGCCCACTGGCGGCACCTGTTCCATCCCTGGTGCAGCCCTGGGTCCGTGTTGTGGGCTGCCAGAGGGGTCTGGGGTCTCTGCTGCCACTCAGAGTTGTTGGTGGGGGTGGGGTGGACTCGTGTTCTTGTTAGATCCTGGGTCCAAATCTCCACGTGTTGGTGGAAAGAATAAGGCCCAGGTTCAAGAACGGCAAACTACGATGCTCAGTCATTGCTCTGGTGACTTTTTGGAAGCGCCTCACGCTGTGATGAATGGCATCGGAGTTCATCTCCTCCCTAAGATACCTACACGCCCTTCGCTGAGGGTAAACTTACGAAGGTGGGACCACTGCAGTTCAAAACAGTAACAATAAACTTCCTAAAACAAAGACATCAGCACTAAACGCAGCATGAAACACAGCCAATGCTGACGAGAGCTAAGTGAGGAAAGCGGCTCTTAGAGGACCACCCGTGATCCCCACTAATGAAGGCCTTGGTCCTCCGTGCAAATCTAACCGTAAACACACAGCTGGGACCCCGGAGGCGACCAGCTCCTACCGCGTTGCTTCTCTCGACCATCGGCGAAGGCTGAGGTGTCCAGGACGCCGGGGTGGAGAGAGGGGTCTTTATATCCTCTATCATGTGGATGACTTCCTCTGGCACTCTGGTGGCATCGCAACAGGTGTTCTGCCACCGAGGCAGTTTGGAATTGAGTAGTTCTGCAGACTGAAAATCCAAAGGACACAGAACTGAGGACTAATGTGTACGTGTGAAGGGCTGACAAAAATGACATCAAATAACGTCACTTAAAACATTCCTGGCTTATTGCCGGAAGTGTGGGAGTCTGAGTTAAACTCAGCGAGTCGTCCAAGCATCTAGGAGTATCTGCTGTCCTATTTGCTGAGAAGGATGTAGCGTCCTGTTCTGAAAGAACCAACCCTCTCCCTCTATGTGAGGCAGAGTTTAAGACTAAATATGAGGATTGTGAATGATTAAGGACAAGTTCAAAAACTAACAGGGAAGGGCTGAGCAACATGCATTGGCTGCCACTGTCTCCCCTGCGGCCCCGACACTCAACCACCACTTTCTCCCTCCCACTGCTCCTCCTCCTCTGTGAAAACCATCTCCAGGATGGGCGAAGGGACTAGGAGCGGATTCAGAGCCGAGTGGAACTGGACTGCATGTTAGAGAAGTACATCAGATTGGTCCATGGGACTGAGGGACTAGAGGCAAAGTTGGGGGGCTCTGTAGAGTCAGAGATGATGCTGAGAAAACGCTCTGGTCCCCCGGGGCTGGCAGACTATGGGCTTGCAGAGAAGCCCGGCTGTAGAGCAGAGAGAGGCAGACGGACAAAGGTAAGTCACACACCCGCAGGGGCAGAGGCCTCAGGCCCAGGCTCCCGCAAGCCTGGCTCTGCTTCTCACAACCGGAGGTTCCGGGAAGCCTTTCGGTGAGCCATCTTTTCCAGAGCAGCAATCTGAAGGGAAAGGGGACGCAGGAGACCTTTCCTGAAGCTATTTCCATAGCAACCACACTGTTTTTACCCAGACTCTCTGTGCGTCAGGGGCGGGCTGGGGGTGCTGATGGAAATCCTGCAAGAGGACAGAACCCCTCCCCCAGACCACCTCTGTCCTGACTGGATCGGCCTGCATTCTCCAGGGGCCACCGAGGGACCGAGCCGCTTTAGCTGGGTAAGAGAAGGCACGAGGGGTTTTCAGAGAGCTGGAGAGTCGTGCATGCAGAAAGCAAGTCTGGTTAGCGCCACACTGCAGAGCCTGACTGGGACCCACGCCTCAGTGTGAGAGACCACCAACAACTAGAGTGCTCGGGGAATCCACCGGGTGCCTCGTGACACTGTGAGTGCCCCGCTGCTGGCAGGGTGTCGCCAAAGGCAAGGAGCTTCAGGGTCGCTTCTGTCCCTCTCCGGCCTCTGACCCCACCCCGGGAGGACTTCCAGTGTGGGGGTCAGTGCTGCTGGAACTAGTACAGTGCGCTGTGGACAAGGTGGTCACCCGAGACCGCAGTTCTCGCCTGACAGGTTCAGAGTTAGGTCTCTAGCTCTGAGTATTCCTTAAGCTGCAGAATCTTTATAGAATGTGTGAGACGTGCATGTGCACGCATGCAAGACCTAGTTTCCTTTCACCTGAAAAAAAGAGACAGCGCCTTACATTCGGGCTCTCACGTAGCGTTCCGCATCCTGCAGCGCTCCCCAAATTACTTTGTTAGGAATAATGACGAATGACTGACATCGATCAACGCTACTTTTGGGTGCTTACATGGGCCCAAGAGAATTTACAGCTGAGAAAAAGAGGAAAGGAAATCTAACGTTTTCTGCACTGGCTACCGGGGACGTAAGCGCAGAGAACAGCGCATGGGGTGGAGGAGGGCGGTGAAGCCCAGTGGTCCGGCCATGAGATCGTGACCACCACCTTGAAGAGGAAGGAAAAGCAGCTCCAGCAAGTGTCCCGATGCTGTGAGTAGGGTCTGTGGCCCGGATACAGCCTCCACGTGCATCAGACCCTCGCAGTGAGCACCTCCGACCACCCGGACCTGGGGCCTGCGGGACTCTTTCTGTGGCTCTGAGGAGGACACTGATGCCAAAGATGTGTCACTGAGTCTGAGAAGGGCTCACTCACAGGTGAGAAAGGAAGCAAGTGACTTTCTCAACTACTGAGCATTATTTTATGAAAGATTTTAAATATGGATGTATTACTAAACTAATTAAACATCATAAGCTGACATCTGAGCACTTCATCTGTATTCTAAAAGTGTGAAATCTTATTGGCAAAACAGGCCAACTGCTTTATGTTGGGGCATGTACAGAAGGGGAAGCAAGTTGAGGGCGTGTAAACGTGATACGAAATGAGTTCACGTAGCACAGTTGGAAACCACACCCACCTGTAAGTGGTAGTCGTGCAGGTGGCGTGAAAAGCTAGTGTTTGTCCACCAGGAAGCCACACCCACCTGTAGGTGGTAGTCGTGCAGGTGGTGTGAAAAGCTAGTGTTTGTCCACCAGGAAGCCACACCCACCTGTAAGTGGTAGTCGTGCAGGTGGCGTGAAAAGCTACAGTGCTTGTCCACCAGGAAGCAGAAGCGCCTCTTCTCTTCCCGCAGAGCTTCTTTGCAACCATCGGCAATAAATTTCTGGATTTCGTTCTGGCGAGAAGTGATGGTTTCTACATACTAGGAGAGCAACAATTACACAGTTATGACAGGAGGAGCCCAACAGCCACACAGCCTGACATTTACCTTCTGCCATCTTTGCCCTGGGTTTGCTTTGATAAGGGAGTGAAAGGAAGATAAACATTAGACAAAATAACAAAGTTGTAACCTCACCCGGCAGATACCATCATTCTCATTAAGATCACCGCCCTGACTCATGTGGAGAGAAGTTGCCAAAGGCCTTCCGTTCCACTGGGCAATTTGCACGAAATGTTACTTTGTACTCCAGGGCTAAGATCCTGTTCTATTGGAAAATCAGGGGCTTTGGAACCAGAAAGTTCAGTTCAAACCCGTTCAAGTGTCAACCATATGACTTAACTTATGCCCCAGTCCCCGATCTGTAAAATGGGGTAACAATGCTCACCCTCTCCGAGGGAGGAGAAAATGCCAATGTTTTTAGCAGGCCATTGACTGATTATTCTTAACTCTGGGAAACTCTGTAGTAGCTCATTCTAAGTCAAAATGCTTATTTTTAACTTTAGTAGCAGGTCAGCACTTAGCAGGTAAAGTACAGGCTGACTGAGCCAAACAAACTTCCCCGTAAATGGCACAAAACATCAACGACCAAACGAAGTTGAAGAGTTCACCTCAATTTCTTTGTGTTCATATTTGAGTGCATTTCGTCCTCCTTGACTTTTCCTTTTGATCTTCTTCAACTCGGCTTGAGATTTCTCCAAAGAATCTAGTTTATTCCTGTGTTCTGTTTGGTATCTTTTGAGAGTAGCCTGCAAGTTCAATGTTTCACTTATTTCATTGTAGCTCTTCAGCTAACATTCCCCTGGGTGTGGCCCATGGCTCCTCACTCCACGCCGCCCCCTCCCTTCAACTTTAATGTTTGCTGCTTTGTCTGTCCTAAAGTTGTTTAGATGAGGGGGCATATTTTATTCTCTTGCTTCTCTTTGCTCAAAGGTGTTTGGACACTGGGTTGTAAGTGCTCTGGTGACTAAATCACCAATATTAAGCCCTATATTCCTGTTTTAAGAGTTACAATATCAAGGAAGAGAATTAAGAAAGAACTACAGTCACTTCTGGTTATATGGGTGTGGCGTAAGTTTTTTGGAGCCTAACAGACCTGGGTTAGAATTCTGGCTTCTCCCCCCATTTCCCGAATTTCCCTAAGAACCTCCTTGGGCGCTAGTCTGCACAGCGAGGGACGCAAGGGGACCCACGTCATGGAGCCTCTGCAGGGATAAAAATCGGACGGTGGAGGTTCAGTCCTCGGCACTGCCCCCCCTCAGCTGTCCCCTTCTCTGAGGCAAGTAGAGCACAAGCACATGGAGGCAGGGCTTGCTGCCACGTGGGGATCTGGGTGCGAAGGACACGGACTCTGGGTGGCAGTGGGGCGGGGGATGGGGAGAGCCCTGTGTGCTGGGGCTGGAGGACCAGGAGGAAGGAGAAAACTGCTGGAACTGACGGTGCCAGGTGACAGCAAGAGATCCATGCGGGAGCGCAGCTCACCCTCAGACCGGGAGCCCCAGACGGTGCTCTCCCACGCACACCTGCCGCCCTGCAGTGCCGAGTGCGAGCTGCACTAGCACCAAAGCAGCTGCCACCCGCACGTGTGTTCTTTGGGAACAATGCCGTCCAGAGGCAGTGTGGGTCCTTGCAGTATTTTTTTTGTGCATTTCAGTGAAGATCCCAAGTGTCAGTAACAATGAGCCCACGCAGCCCCAAGGGATCTTATTACTTATGCATCCGTGCGCACACTCCAACACCCAGCTCCACCCACATTCTCTGCTGCTGAGTAAACAGTGGCTCAGAGATCAGGCACCTCCGGACAGCCAGGCCCTGTGCCCCATGCCCACCTCCACCCGAGGTGGGGCCAGACTGTATACTCACGTTCATGTATTTGACATCTAGTTCTGTCTTCTTTTCCAGCTCATATATAATCTCTTTATGGAATGTCTTAAACTATTAGCAAAAGGAAATAAAAATTTCATACCAGATTTGAGATGTCAAGCAAAATGAAATTGAAAAGTAAATAATTCTATAAATATAAAAAGGGTTCACGTACATTTTCCTTCAAATTCTCATCAAGTTTCTGGTGGGCACTTGAGATCTCCGTGAGAACACGGCCTGAGAAGAAAACCGCATGTGTGAGGGGAGCTGTTGCATGGTCGTTGTCACTGTGCAGGGACGGAGGGCAGCGAAACAGTGACGCCCAGTCCGCGGCCGCCCTCAGGGCCTGTGAGCATCAGCCTCTGAAGCTCCAGACCCACTGACTGTGGCCCATGGGGGCGGGGGGGGGGGGGGGGGGAGGCCGCGGACGCCAGGGGAGCATCTGACAGCAAACTCCCTCTGCAGCGTCGTTCATCGGAAGCATGCCAGCTTTGTCCGAAGTCTCACACTGTTCTTTCTGTATTTACTCATACATTTATCTGGTTTAACGTTTAAATTCTCTTACAGAAGACTCTCTCAGTCATTTAGTAACTAACTAACAATAGGAACAAATGACTTATTATTATTATTTTTAATCTAATCCCCAGAGTAATCTGATTATCTGTCAGGCATGAAGGGTAAAAGTCATTTTCTTTTTCTCATATTCATTTCTCTGTCACTCTGGAAACATTAACACCATGGCGAACCACAGCAGGGACAGCGCCCTGCCCACATTTCCTGGATGACACCATCCTCGGAAACATCTCAGGCTGGGAGAGGGCGTTCCAGGACAAGAGCCGTGCTCCAAAAGCAGCAAGATGGCCACCTGACTTGCAAAGCATGTCCCTCTCCACTCATAGATGTGTGCACACCTCTGCGATTAAACTGATAAATGTGAACAAGAGCCTCCCTCTGCCAACTCAGCTGCAGGAACCAAACGGGTCTGCTATCTAAGAACTGGGAGAACCGGAGAATCGTACCGGACCAGCCCAGACCACACCACACATAACAGGTGCTAGGCGGACCATCCCACAGGTCAGCGGAGAGACGACAGAGAATTCTGTGGGTGGAGTGAAAGGCTGTGGACGAGGGAGGATTCAAGTGGTGACTGCAGCAAAATATGAGGAAAGAGGAAAAGAGCGCCGATTGGACCGAGACACGGCGAGCACCTTCATGCCTCTTCTCAAAACGTTTTAAGACATCTGACCTTCAAACGACTATCCCAGTCTTTCCCTCATCTTCAGGCTCAGAAACGCAACCCCTTCCTGAACGTCTGCTTGCACGTACCACTAGGCATCTCCTGTGCAACACGTCTAAAAGTGAACTCACCACCCTTTTCAGCTCTCAGCGGCCGGCCCGAGTGGTACCCAATAACAAACATGGTCCCTTGCGTGGCAGTGCCACCACTTCGGCCACTGGAGGGCGGATCCATTCCCCCTAATCATGCTGCTAGCTCGGGCAACAAACGTGCCAGCACTTCCCTGCCCAGGGGAGAAGTCACGTGGGAATGACGTGTAAAGTCTGTGTTCATCCAACAACCTGCCCCACTAGCAGAGGAGGAGCAGACCCCGGTCTGACCCCCTGCAACACACGAAACCTGCTGGTCGGGCCCCTAAGGAGTTCGCCTCTCCGTCTGCGCTCAACTCCCAGCTGTTCTCTCCTGGCTCTTCTTCCTCACAGATGTCAGGGGTCTTTCCAAATGCAAATGTAACATGTCTCTCCCAAGACCACTCCCCACGGTGCCCCAGATAAACCGACTGCTCAGCAGGAAGCCTGCTGTGAACTGCGCTGCCTAAAATAACATGGCACAACCATGGCGGGGGGTGGGGCCCAGAAAATCTCCTGTAAACATACGACCTCGGAAGGTTATGGGTCTGCAACCTGTGAGTCCCCAAGCACCACTGTCTCCTAGGAACCTGCGACGGAACAGCTGGCTGGCTAAGTGTGGGAGTGAGGGCAGGCTCAGGTCTCCTGGGTCTGCCAGGCCATGTGGTCAGAGCCCCTCTCTGCATCCTTCTCAGGCACTGAGGTTAAGTTCTCCTAAAGCTCAATGCAAGAGTTATTCACCCAGGAAGCCCTCACGGGACGGGACCAAGACTGTAATCATATTAATGTCACTTCCTATTGTTTAGTCACTTCAGATATTGAAATGATCTACGTTACACTCACATCTCTTTTAAACTCATAAATAACTCCTGGTTGGGGATGAAAAACAACAAAAGCCCACTTCAATTATTTGAAAATCAAGCACTCTATTTTTGGCAAATTAGATCTACTTTAAAAAAGTCTAAAGATAACTTAGTTATTTTTAATAACTCAGTCACAGTGATTCAAGCTCGGAGACGGCATTCACACTTTCCCATCCTGTCACAAACTTTATTTTACAACCTTCCGTCCTGTGGATCTCATAAAAGCATATGCTGCCCAAAGCATGTGCCAGTGTGGGCACTGCTCAGCTCGGGGCCCAGCTCCGGCCCAGAGGTCCCAGCTCCCTCGCACTCCGAGCCCTGCTGCCCACGCTCTCCCCCAGGCAGCCAGCCAGCCCAGCGAGCAGCTCACAGCCCCAGTGAAAAGCCCTTTCACTGTGTGGGCAGGACGGAACTCCTGTCCCTCACGGCTCATGGGATGTAAATGCCAACCTCACAGCAGCAGCTGCCGACTCCTTGGTAATGGAAAGGATGAAAAAACATCTTTACTGTGATTGTGGAAGCTGCCAAAAGTATATCTTAAAGTAGAAAACAAAAACGGCCTTTATGTTTAATCTACAGAAGTTCATTCTTAAATATCACGTTACTTTAGATCTGAAACATGGCATCACACACGTTTGTTTACTCTTATCCCTGTAACCTACATAAATTACTCTTAAAGTTTTTATGGAAGAGGGCAGAGCCGAGGAAGTACAACCCAGAGTCTGATGGATCAGAACTAAACACACACCCGAACAGGAACTGGCACGCCCCTCCCGGAAGTCACAGTGCTGCACACCAACCAACCATTTCTTTTGTTGTCTTCTAGGCTTCGAGTCAACATTTTGAGAAGAAAGTCATAGTAAGGACAGTAATGTGACTCAGTTTGAATAAACTGTACTTTTAAATGGCAATATTAGAGGAATTTAAATATATACCCATTTTAAAATCACGACTTTGACATAATTAAAAGTCAATGTCTGCCATCAATTTTCCCTAAAATTCACATAAATAATAGCTAATTTTAGGAACTATGAACAAATACGTCCAGCATTTTGGATGGTGCTGTATGAAGGTATCTATTTAGACAACAGGCAGTGTGGACTTAAAGAGAAATTACGAGCAGTGGCACAAACACAGGTTTGCACCTGAACTGCAGATGAGTCACTGGACTGTGACTGTGTCTCCAACTCGCTGTCCCCACCCTTCACAGCCTGAGTCAGAGACACCGCACGGAGACACCGACAGCGGACCTGGCGGCGCGGCACACGTGCTGAGCACTCCGGGCGAGTCTTTACTCTCATTCATATTTGATCACAGATGATCAGGACACATTTATTACTTCACGACAGCACAGAGCGATGGCTGAGTCACACTCGCCTCCCTCCACGCGACTTCGAGTGGCATCCGACCATAAAGCAACAGGCAGGAGCTGACCGGGCCTGGAGTCGTGCCGCGTGGAACACAGCAGCACTGACCGCCCCGCCCCTGGGAAAGGGATGCTTCTCCTGATGGCTTCCCAAACACCGCACGTGACAAGGAGGGTACATACTGCAAGTGAAGCAACTGCCACAACAGACAGGGCATGTTAAACGCACAAGTGTGGACCAGAGTCACCAACCGAATCAGCACAGAGGCAGATGATGTCACGAGCACGTGACCAAACTGGCAAGGCTCTGCCAGCATCCAAGAATAGCTCCCAGTGGCTATTTGAACCCAGTCCCTGGGTGCGATCAGAGGTGGCCTCCTCTGGGCCATGCTGACATGGTACCGGTGGACATGCCCACGGAGGGATACTGCCAAGTAAGTAACAGGTGGAAACCACTGCCCGCTCCCCCAGGAGTCCAGCTTCTGGCTTAACCAACTACAGTTCCACAGTCCTAGTTAATCTCTTGCACAGAGACTGTAATTATTCTGCCATTGATAACGCTGTGTATACCACCTTATGAAAACAAGGGCGACGAACAACAGTTACACAATGGAATTGCGTAGTGTTCTGCTGTTCCTCAGTGTCTGAAATAAAAGCAGTGCCACTGACCTGACTTTGATGTTTGATGCAAGAAAAGACGCATGTTGAAAGTCTCCAGGGTAACACCTAAAAGAATAAGTAACTACTAAGCTAATGGGGGAAAAGTAAAAAAGATGATGAGAAGAAATGAACACAGGACAGAGAACAGGAAGCAAAAATGTAAGTAAACGGATTGTATAGTCCAATGAAAAGGCGAAGACTGTCAGGACTGAAGAGCAACAATGCCTACCTGTATTCTGCTTCCAAGAGACCTTAAATACAGAGGTAGGGAAAAGCTTATAAGTGAAAGAAAGGAACAAGATGTGTGGCAGCCACATGTTGGGAGAAAGCGTTTACAACACACAGCTCACAAAAGGGTTGATCCACAATATGTAAGAAACTCTTAAAAGTCAACAATAGGAAATCAAACAACTCAATTAAAAGGAGCAAAAGATAGGAACAGATACCTCACCGAAAAAGATACACAGATGGCAAATAAACAAAGACGCTTCACATCACATGCCACTGAGAGTTGAAAATGAAAACAATGACATGCCCCGACTCACCTATCAAAATGGCTAAAACCCAGAAAAGAGGAAACACCAAATGCTGGTGAGGATGTGGAGCAACAGGCGCTCACCTTCACTGGTAAGGGGAGCGCAACGCGGTGCAGCCGCTCTGCAAGACGGTCTGGCGGGTTTTCCCAAAGGTAATCAGTTTTACCATCACCTAAAACACTGGAAATCTTATGTCCACAGAAAAACCCGTATGTGACTATTATAACAGCTTTATTTATAACGACAAAAAGGGGAAGCAACCAAGAAGAAGGGATAACAAGACCGTGGTATAACTCTGTACAACTGGATGTTATTCAGGGATGAATAGAGAAACGAACTACGAAGCCACAAAAGGCATGGAAGAAGCTTCAGTGCACGTGGAAGCCAGTCTGGAAAGGCTACGCCACATACAATACAATTCTAACCAAAGGTGTTCTGGAAAAGGAA